CTGCTTCCTGTACTTGCGGTGGTTTGTGCTTTTTATTTTGTATCATGTCTCCTGTTTCCCTGGAATGTAAGTTTCTAAAAGGCAAGAACCAGATCTCATGTTTTATTTTAACCTTGGACATCACCAACTAATTCTATTGAATAATAAGCAGAGGGTGCTCGAAGTCCCAGAAACTGTAAGTAATGAGATCCTGAGGCCTACTAACATGGAAGCATTCCACAGGAACAACCTAAGTAGACCCCTACATCAGGAAACTTCGGGAAACCTCAAGCTGGTGCGGAAACAAATGTAGGCAAGGGATAAACTGTTACAGGGACAGTGAGGTGTACTCACTGGGAAGCAGCAAGTTAAGCGAAAAATGACAAGGGTGAGAATAAGAATAAAACACTTTAAGGGTGCCTGAAGCCAAAATCTGTAAAAGCAAAAGGCCTGCCTGCCTAATAAGCACAGTATCATCAAAACAAATATTGTATTAGGCTTTAAAATATACATATCCATCGTCTGTGTCAAGTACCAAAAAATGTCCACTGGGAAGGCCGTGGAATTTTCTATAAAATCTAAAACCTGCCATCACCTTGCCAAGGTTTAAGAAGAACATTAAGATGACCAAGGGCTCCGTGAGAGAGTATGGAATAATCCAAATAACCCATCACTATTTGTGAAAGCAGCAAAACTCATGACTTTCAAATAGGAGGTCAGTGTGCCAACTTCCTATGTTATTTACTGCAGAGAATTATCCTGCAGCTAAAGTGATTTCAAAGGGAAATCCCAAAGCCTCTTCAGTTCAACAGGGAGGTGCTGAGAACAGTTTCTTGTTGGTCAGATATGCAGGCAGTACATCCACGAAGAAGAACCTCATACTCACCCAGGTACCACAAAGCCCTGCCCAAGAGAATGCAACGTTTTCTGAACCGTTAATGTGGGGAGAGACTGGGTAGATACATCCATGAGGCCTGTGGACCCAGAAGAACCAGCTCGGGAGGGAAACAGGATCATCACCTGCCCCAGAGACCACTCTTACACACCTCATCCCGTTTTTGCATGTCCCACCATCCAACAGTACCCTGAGTTTTAGGAACTTGCTCATCAACATCAGACTAGTCTTTCTCTTTTAAAAGAAAAAATATTTGTATTGATTTCAGGAAGAAAGGGAGAGATAGAAATATCAATGATGAGAGAGAAGCATTGATCGGCTGCCTCCTGCATGCCCCACACTGGGGATGGAGCCTGCAACCTGGGGATGTGCCTTGACCGGGAATTGAACCGTGACTTCCTGGTTCAAACATGTCAAACTTGCAGCCGGCAGACCGCAAGTTTGACATGCTTGTCCTGGTTCATAGGTCAACGCTCAACCACGGAGCCACACTGGCTGGGCAGACTGCACAGTCTTTCAAAGAGCAATGTGTGTGTATGTTTGTTAAAGTGTCAAGAGGGAAGTTGAGAAAAAGCACAGATAAAAACACACATACCTGAACCATTTATTATTCAGGTGATAAAAATAAATAAATAACTGCCCTTTACTCTCATTTATAAGTAGTCAGAGAGTGTAGTACTTGCTAATCTTATAGTCCTAACTAAGGTCTTTTTTTAGGAGGTATAAGACTTAATCTCCAACTCTGAAACTCTACCTTGATTGATTTGGGCAAAGGTCCTCAATTCCATGGTTAAAAAATAAAAATAAAACTCTCAAGTTCCTTCAAGAGGTAAAACCAAAAAAAGGGAGAGACAGAGATAAAACGGAAGCAAAACCATTTATTCTCCCTGACTTGCTCATTCATGAGAATATGTTCCTGATGAAATCTCAGCACTGGAAAGAACCCAAAAGTTTCTAGTTGAGGGATTCTCAAATCTGGCTACACGTCAGAAACACCCGTGAAAACAGCTTACTAGGAACCCGAATTTCCCCAACCCACCTCACCCCCACTGAATGGGAATCTCCAGGGAGGGGCCGAGAGACGGCCCTGGATTTTAAGAGCCACAGGTGATTCTGATGCAGTCGTGCGTTCCTGCGTGCCAACGTCCCAGCGACACACTTGTCCAGAAGGGTACATGTTCCAAGCCTCGGGACAAGGATCACAGTTATGGCAAGTTTAAAACCGTGTTCTACACTTTTAAATCTTTGAAAAAGCGTAATGCCTAAGTCTGTGAATACAATGTGCAAGGCTTCCATGCTCCCCTTTGGCTCCCCTATTTCCCACCAATATTCGGGTGCACTTAGTCACTGTCAGGTGCCGCAGCTGAACCTCAGTGTGGGAGCTGCCGCCAAGTAAAATCCCCTGGGGAAAAAACAAGCTTACCTGGAAAGGTGAAGGAGGTTTCACTGGGCAAAGTGTCAGGGGAATGCCTCCCGCTTTGCTCAGCTCGCCAGGGAACAGGAAGTCCCTGGCAGGCTAGGCGTCCCAGAGTGGCCCCCAGCTACCCTCAGGGCAACCCCAGGAAAGAGGAGAAAAAGGAAAAGAAAACCCATACTCCTTGTTTTGTTCTCAGAGCACCACAAACCCTGGGAACAAACTCTCAAGGCAAAACTGATGGCATCTGATCAGAAACATGTCAGTGCAGGTCAGCAGCGTGGCTAGGAAGCCAGAACTCAGCATTTCGTAAGATTCACAATCTTAGGTCCTTCAAACCATTCCCTCTTAACAGGTGATAACTGCATTTATTCAGAACAACTGTCACCCCTGGAGGGTGCATCGGGGAGAGGGTTCTCCAGGACAGACCATCCTACACCCACGTGCCACCCTCACAGCCAGAGAGGGACCCAAGCAGGCTCTGCACGCTCTGGAGCAGCTCGTTGAACATTTCAGTGTGCTTGCTGAATTACACGCACCAGCAGGACTGCAAACAGCGAGACCCGGGCACGTGGCGACTTGCACAATCATTTCTCACCAAACTAAAAGCCCTGTGCCCGACCTAAACAGTGACATGCGGCTTTGGGGGACCTGAATACCACTCTCTCCTCCACATTCTACCCTGAAATTGCTTCCTAGGACTTTCCCTTTCTTTTAATACCAGACTTGGCCCTTTACATGAAAGCAGCGAATTGTCTCTAAGTTCAAAGAATGGTCTCAAAACACTCAACAGAGTGCCCGAGCTGGTTTGGGTCAGTGGATAGAGTGTCGGCCTGCGGCCTGAAGGGTCCCGGATTAGATTCCAGGCATATGCCCAGGTTGCAGGCTCAATCTCCAGTAGGGGGAGTGCAGAGGCAGCCAATCAATGATCCTCTCTCAACCATTGATGTTTCTCTCTCCCTCTCCCTTGCTCTCTGAAATTAATAAAAAACCAAAAACACAAAAACAAAAAACCACTCAACAGAGCCAAGTTTAGAGGTTGGTCTCCAAATGCCCACTCTGAGATGGGGAGGGGAGGGAGGAGGAAGAAAAGTGGACACCTGGGGACAAGGGCAGCACCCTACAATTGTTACAGGCAGTTACAGGTGTGTAAAAATAAGGCCCTGGCAAAGGACAGGCCCAGAACACAGGAATGCTCACATAAGAACACCGCACTGAGGCATCACCTGTACCAGGGACCAAAGGCAAAGCTCCCAGGGTCCACATCTGCCCCTCCCAGGCATCGCCCCTCCTCACACCCTGCACGCTGCCCGCTCCCCACCTTGAACATAAACTCTAGGTGAATAGCATTTGCAGACAAACGTGTCCAGCAGCAGCGAGGAGAAAAATGGCTCCACCACCTCCTTATTCGTAATCATCCATGCCATTGACAAACAGAATTTTCTCAGGCTCAAGATTCTAATGGAAACAGCAACATGTTTCTGGAGAGAAAGAGACGGTCCCAGCCCTGCACAGCAGCGGCTGACCCCACACAACAGCGGTCCTGTGTCTGAACCTGAACTTCAAAGAGGGAATGCAGACCATCAGCACTATTAATGAAAAACAAAGCTGGAAAACACAGCCGCATGGTCACTGTGGAGAGAGCGCTTTCTGGCCGCTTGTTGTAACTGCGGCAGCATTACCTTTCAGAACGCCAAGGTAGATCACCATTTTCTGTTCCAACTCTCACAGCTGGCCTGCTTTCTATTGTACCTGCTATATCGTTATGAGAAAGGCAAAGCAGATTATTAAAGCTGTTTCCTTCTCGTGGACCATGGAGCTCAAAAGCTTTAAAAACAAACTTCAACCTTTCAAGTCAGTCTCTGGTGGGAACTTTACCCTGCGCTAATTTTTCCTATTCAGGGAGTTCCAAAGTTGCCAAACACTTAGGTAAACACCGGATTTCAAAAGTCACTTGGGCCCTAGCTGGTTTGGCTCAGTGGATAGAGCATCAGTCCTTGGTGCTCGGGTTCAATTCCGGTCAAGGACACACACCTTGATTGCAGGCTGGATCCCTGGCCCCGAGTGCAGGAGGCAGCCAATGGATTTGAGAGACACATAGATGTCTCTCTGTGTCTCCTCCTCCCTTCCACTCTCTCTAACAATATCCTCTGGTGAGAATTAACAAAACAAAACAAAAAGTCACCTGGGCAATTCATGCCTGCCTTTGTTTAGTGCATAATATGCTCAAGTATGACGCCTCCCAATGTCCATTGCTGTCCATGTGCTCCAGGGTCCCAGAGAGACTGCCCTTCTCCAAGTTCAAATTCAGGAAGAAAATTGATGCCATTTTCCCCTATCCCTTTCTGGCAATTTTCCTCAAAAATGTATTCATACACCTCATGGTTAATGGCTGCCCCTTTGTGCTGTAAACCCAAACTGACACATCCACACTGAGGGAAGAAGCAGGCAGTGTGCACACCACTGTTTTGTGATTATGTTCAGATGCCACAGTGGGAAAACCTCAAGTCAGCACAAACACGAAAAACAGTATTTAATTAATATGCTTAAGGAAGAGGACGTTTACAAGTAAATGAATGAAATCAAAGTACCCATTTATAAATGCCCCTTCAGTGTGGGGACTTTACAGTCCTTAACAATTTGTTAATGGAGAGAAACTAAAAATTTTAGAAAGAAAAAGGAAACACTCGAGTTCCAGACACGGAGACTTACCTGACTCCTCTCTTTGTCCACCTTCTTAAAACACTTATTCAACGACAAATTGTGTCTCACTGAGTTTTTCCACCCAGTAGGTGCATTTGCAAAATACGGGAAATGTTCCAAGATCCAGTTGTAGATATCCTTTACTGGCAGGCGCTTGGTCGGAGAGTCCTCGATGGCCATAAATATGAGGCAGCTAAAGGAGTAGGGGGGCTTGCAGTTGGGGTTCTGCCTGGCATCGTAGGGCATGTCAGAGTGGGCGGGCGACGGGGGCGTGTCATCGTCCAGGTCCTGGACGGGGCTGACGCTCCGGAGCACCGACTCCCCGAAGCTCTTCAGCAAGTTCTTGCTCTCGTGCAGCCAGTTCAGGTTGGTCAGCTCCTCATCTTCCATGGCCCCCTCTTCTAATCGGATGTCGGGCAGAGAAAAGTCGAGGTCATCGTCTTCCTGAAGGGCCTTGGAGAAGCCGCTGCCCCGGTAACACTGACTCAGCCCACGGGAGACGCTAATTCCTGAGCTTTCTGGCTTCTTACTGGGAGGCATGACTGGACCCATTTAGGTGAAGGCTCCTGGGAAACACATTCCACAGAGAAGAAGAGTCAGTGAAACCCAAACCAGAAAGGCAGCTGAGTCCTCCTAGTGCTTTGGTCCCCACCCCCACTGCTGCCCCCTCTATGAACCCCCTTCCACACAGGAACACACCTCATGGCTCCTACCCCAAGGAATGCAAACCCACAATTCTACCACACAGAGATGCACAGGAAGTAAAATCAGTCTATTGTGCATACAGCGCAGTGACTGTCACCCCTCAACACATCAATACTGGAAATATCTCCAGCACCTTTAATGTGCAAACGCACCATAAAAAGAATGGGAAAGTCCACAATGCCTTCTCCCTGGATCTACGAACACTCTCACTAGGATCCTGGGAAAATCAGTTATTTCTTGCTGCCTCAGTTCATCTATTACACATGAACACATATACAGTGGGGCCTTGACTTATTAGTGTCCCGACTAACGAGTTTTTCGAGATAAGAGCCGTCTCTCGGCGGATTTTTTGCTTTGAGTTGCGAGCTAAAATTCGAGTTACGAGCCAGCTTCAGATACCCCACCACTAGTGGGCGCAGCGAACGTCACAGTGAACGCCACAACATCAGCCCAGCATCATGTGTCTCACTCGTTCACTTTTTGATTTGACATATGAGTAATTTGAGTTACGAGCTCCGTCACGGAACGAATTAAACTCGTAAGTCAAGGCCCCACTGTACACAAGTAAAAATATTTCAGGCCTCGTGATTAAACTCTACCTAATAAGCTCAATGCACAACCCCTCTCTGTGGCTTGGGGTCACAGGGCTCACTGTTAACCATTCTCAAAAAAAGAAAATGCCTCTAAGTTTAAGGCCAGTGTTTTCAGAGTTTCCATACAAGGACCATCCATCACAACGACCCCCGAATTAAAACTGTGGCCACAGTATGCATCAGTTTAATAAGTTTTATTTGATTTCCCCCCTCCCCTCCACAAGTCGTGATCAAACACTTAATTACATTTAACTTTAATTACATTTGAATTCTGGATTCGAACTAGAGCAATAAATGCATTTAATTTTATTGGGACACTACATTCTGAATGAAAAAGTGAGGAGTGCAGGCACCACACACACAAATGGGAATATGAAGGACAAGCCATTAACTGAAATTAGGATTGGTGAAAAAAGTAGGAGAGCAAAAGGGCAGCTTCAAGAAAGAAAGGCAAATTCAACAAAAATTGCTACAGAATTCTCTTCTACTGCCGCCCCCATTTTTGTCAATGACCTAGAAGAGGGAGTAAAATATCTGATGAGAAAAGAAACTGAAGAGGTGGCGAGTCCACAAATAGAATGACCCGGCAGATACAAAGCTGTCCGACCCCCTGGCACTCAATGTGAGATATAAAGAACAGCGAAGATAATGAAGAGAGGTCTCCCACTCTCCGTCTGGAGCGCTCAAACAATGTGTCTGTTCTATGTTTTCCCCCCACAAGTGAGAAGATCAAGCAATCTATCCAGAAAAAAAAAAAAAGAATGAATACATCAAAAGCAAAGAATATGATTACTCTACGGCTCGAAAAGTCCACTGACACTACGCCTAAAACAACTGCCAGTTCAGCTGGGGAAAATGGGATTCTAGAAAGCACAGTGTGGGAGCACTACACAGCCAACCCCAGGTGCCCCAGAACCAACCCCGGGTGCACCCTCCCTCTTCCAAAAGGTGGACAAACAGAACCTGCTGACTGAAGGCCTGGGGGGAACTCTCTAGAACTGCTGTGAGATGACCAATTCCAAAGAAACTTCTATGGGCATCGAAGTCCCATGGAACAGGGCAGTTTGCATACCTCAGGTTCATCCATGTTATTATTTCTGTCATGTACTAGTACTAACCTGAGTAGCACATGACACATTTTAAAGAATAAGCTAGTATCTTGAGGCTTGGGGGTTTACAGAGACCAGACTGACAACGCTTTTACCTTCTTTATAAAACAATCAAAACTAGGTTTGTCTCTCTCAAAGTTTCCTCAGATCCCAATAAAAAAACGAATTTTTGGATAACTAGGATTATCCACACAGTAGAGTACGTAAGAGAACTACTACCCAGCCACTGAAGTCAACTTTAGCTCTAGACGAAAGTTTTTCGTCTCCTGAGCTTCCAAACAGGAAAATTATATCATGGCTGACAGTAATTTAATTGCATTGTTGCTATGACAACATGCTGCTCTCTTTCTTTTTAGTTTGTCAGTAGCTTCCCAAAGGAACTAACATGCTATTCTCCATGTTTCCTTTTGTTTTAAACAAACATTGCCAGCAATATGGTTTTCTTAGAAAAACGGTTAAGAAAACAGGGTTACGGGGTTCAGTTCCCTTGGATCATTTGCCTGTTTTTGTCTCTCCCCCGCCCATGCCCTCCAACTGTTAAGACATCCCTATAAACCCGTATTCTATAGCCACAATATCAAGAGCTGCTGATCACTCCAGTTCCATTTTTAAAAAGTTTCCAGAAACCACAGCTGAGTTTTCCATTATTATACTCAAACTACATAATTCG